TTTGCTTTCGTCTGCTCCTCTCTCCTACGTTCCCCCTTCTTCTTCAGGAAGAACTTGAGGAAGGCGCAATGAAAGTGAAGGAGAAGCAGCGAAGAGAACGCCATATTTTGGAGGAAGAACTGGCCCGAAATCTTGAGCAGTACAAGATTAAAGGGACCGACGACGACTGGGAAAATGCTTTAGCGAATCTAGACTTGAGAACCGTGAAGAAGGGTTCAGGGCTGCTCTCTGTAAAATCAATAAGGTATTGCTTTAATCCAGTTTTTGAGTTTTAGTCGCAATTTTTTGTTTCGCATCAATCCATCGCAGCTTTTGCGTGAAAATCAGGTTCTTTAGGAAACAAAAAACGGAGATAGACTTGGACCAGCCCGCACCTAAGAAATTTCGCAAGCAAAAAAGTAGGGCAAAAGCCCGTTCTTAAAAACTCCTTAAAACAATTGTTTCCAAACCATTGTTGTTGTTATTGTTGCTGAGAGTTAAACTGATAATAGTTGTTAGGAGCTTAATACTTTATGATAAAAATTGTACTTGCGAATCCAGGAAAGACAACAAGATTTCTAGAAACTACACACAGTCTTCATTACTTGAAATTAAGGTATTGGATCCTAAGGTAGACGCTCGAGGAAGCTGTCTTGGTTCACGTAAACCACTGTGGCTATTCAGCTATTTCCACTCCCTTCAGACACTAACTGTAAATACCTTACAAACCCTAGCTTAACGCGTTCTAGAAAAACAGAACAGGACGCTCGGCAATAATCGCCAAGACTAAGATTAATTCTAGCTGACTCGTTGTTGCTCTGAGGCACCGAGGAAATTTGAAAAATTGCTCAAAAAAAAAATTAATCAGTAGATGAGTACAAGGAAGTGACGGAAACCATGAAAAAAAACGCGTCTGAAACACCGACCCTTAAGTCTGCAAAAAACTTGTTTGAGGAAATTCTAAAACTGAAGCCACACACCAACAACTGTCTCCAAGCCTTGTTACGAGCAGTTGTTTCCACGTGCCTCCCTAGTCCCTAAATCACTGGGCATAACTACCGAGACAGATAGGTGAGATCATTCTTGACGATGTTAATCGGACTAAACCACATAGTTCTTATCAAATAATCTTCTATAACAACAAAACACAGGAGATGGCGCAATAAACCTCCAAAAATTTCCAACAGAACGAGTACGAAAAGAAAAAAATAGTTCATCCATGCCTAATAAAGAATCAAAACAGAAAACTTTTCTTAAAATCAGTTTCCAAAATCAAAACACTTGAAGATTCTTGTCGAGCTACGAGTTAAGGACAAGGAATATTCGAAACGCTCATAACTGGTTTAAAAAGGTAGTATAAGGACGCTGCCGTAAAACGGACGAATTCTACATTTAACTTAACTCAATTGGAAATTTAAAATTTTTTGAAGAGAACTTGCAAAGGGTAAAAAATTTTATGAACTCTAAAATTACTTCGAATTACAAGCAGCTAAAATCAACGTCAAACTAAAGATGCTATGGAAAAGTCTATATACCTAAACTATTAACAATCATTAAACAGAGTTCTGCATGAAGTAATCGTAAAGATTTCAAGAGAAAGATCCACCAGCAGCGGAACCCGCTGCCAAGTCGTCTTGCAAACGCTTCTGTAGTGTCTGCGAAACTAAATTCCAGCTATCCATGAAGCGATCCATGCATCTAGAACCACGCGGAGCGTAATACTTGCCAAAAAACATCGTAAAACAACAAATTACCCTAATTATTAACAACAATCCTTCTATTATAATTATCCAAGAAAAAACACGGTGAAGAAAAGTGAGGACGACAACCTCTGCAGGCACTGTTTTTCTCCATTTGATAACGAACTACCCGGGCTTGTGATACATTTATGTGTACATTTGTCAGAGAGATCCTGAAATTCTACCAAAATACAATACCAATAAACAGCCCGGAAAACAATTTGTCCAAAAGTTTTTCTTAATTAGCTAGAATCGTTCTAACGTTTACTTCGAGTAAACATAAGTCAAGTTCTTTAGATGTTGAAAAATCTTTGAGAATTTTTTTGAATAACCAGAACAACAAAGTTGAGAAAAGGAAGTGATAAACTAGGCAAAATTAAAACGTATAGCTCTACTAACAATAAGGAGCTGTAGGAAAAGTATAACTTAGCCGAAAAGAATAAAGAAAAAGCCATACAGCTTTTGAAACGAACGATACGTAAGTCACTGCAATTACAATGGTAGCCAAAATTTTAACAGAGTTGTTGTAGTCAAATGACAGAAACGACGGAAGCAGCTGTAGTCGTTTCTGTAATGTAAACTACACCAAAAAATAAGTACCCATCGCCTCTAACTAAATGTATATATATACATTGCCCTTCCTTCTTTTGAAGAAAAAACTATTCACCCGTAAATACGTTTTAGTGTTCAGTATTAAAGACACTTTACTCAAAGGCATGTTTACAAACGCGGGTAAATCCTATGAAATATTTTAGTGTTCAGTATGGAAGACACTTTACTCAAAGACATGTTTACGAACGCGGATAAATCCTATGAAATAATAAATCACACCCAACAGCTTCACTTTCCCTGCCTTGGGAATATACTTCTCGACTACAAATTTGAAGCCTCCTTAGGGTTGATGACGTTTAAGGCCTCTAAAACTACTGGATATTTATAGTGAAATATCACTGATGACTTTAAATCCTGCGTGCAGACGTAAAGTGAAAAACTCGTTCAGTAATCGTGTCTTTTGACGACTAAGTGACAGAAACACTGAAAGGCTTCTTTAAAAGCAATGCTAAAATTTTGGCTCTCACTGTATTTTTCAGGACAAATTACCGTAATAAGATTTTGGGCATTGGTAATTGCTGCGTGCTGTTTGACTCCCATAATTACTTGGTCCTGCTGTTCAGGAGTTAAACTCTTTAATTTCTCCAAGTCGAGTAACTCTTCCATTCTAGAAAAGAGATTATAACAAACCAGAGTGAAAGAAATGCGTAAACAACTCATCACGCCCGACAACAAAAAAACCGCAATTAATTGAGCACGAGTATGAAAAAAATAGTAAGATTTAGAAATGATTTCATAGGTTTTGTCTTTCAAACTAATTTAAAGCTAAATAAAACCTATACTCCAGCTGGAATAAAATCAGTAAAAATAGAACGAAAAACGCGGCATCGAAATGTCAAAAGGAACGCAGTATTTTCCACTTACATTGTCGTATCAGCGTAAGTCTTGCTGTTTTTGATTTAGACAGAGGCTGCAAAACTGGGGAAGCTTTTCTGAACTGAATAAAACCACGATATCTGTCCAACGCAATGGTAATACCGAAAATGAAAAAAAACTCATTATATGTAAGTGTTAATAAAAGCTGATGGAAAATACCAAATATCCGTGCATGGTCAATAATTTAGCGATCTTAGTGCTGCCCGTTTGAGGTGACTAAAAAAGTAGTTCAAATTTCCAAACACAGCGCAACAAGTCAGTAGTAATCAAACATTTAGAAAATGGTTTTTTTCTTTCGCAGTAAATCGCATCCGATTCCAGCTTTAAAATTCCATGGACTGTATAAACGGAAACTCCCAGACGCTGCAAAGAAATGTTGCGCAGACTTCGTTGAGGAATAAGAACCGCTGTAAGACATAAGCTGATAGGCAGAAGCTGTAGTGCAGCTGCACGGAGTTATATTTTAAGAGTACTAAGTGCACTACTGTCTCAGACAGCAGCAACAAGCCTGTTGAATGTTTGTTACTAATGCAATAATCTTACAACCTTACACTATAATGCATAGCCTGACAACTAACTAGAAATCGAAAGCGAAAAGCATGGAAACTCCAGGTAACTTTGTTTCCAATAAAATCGACGATTTCCCTCCTAAAAACAAACGTTCCGGCCACCATATTTATTGGAGGCTACAGAAGTGCTGGGAAACGTCAGTGAACGGGGCATCAAAATTCCAAACCGTCAGCAAAAAACGTTTCATTTTCTTCTGGAAATAAAGCCGCATTTTTCTGAAGCCCAAACACTTATAAACCCCCCTTACTGTTTTGCCTTGAGACATATTGTATTACAGAACTGTTGGAGTTTGACCAAAAAAAAAAATAAATAAATAAATTCGTATGGCTTACATTTTTGCCATTAGAATTCAATGCATCCTCAAGAGATGGCTATTTAACAATTTTGACCAAAACTTGATCAAACTATAGGAGTCATGTGTACTACAAATATGGTAACTGCATTTGAACATTCCAGCTTGTCTAATTTCTCACTCATGCAATCAATTGTTGCGCGAATTATTCCCACATTAGAAACACAATTACCTTTTGTTAATTTACAGGAAACATCACGAATTTTTTGCCAGTCAATTAAACAAAAAGAAGTTTCGAAACTCCATCAGACAGACATCTATAAGTCACGCGTGTAACAAATGTTATTCCTTCCCGGATGGGCTGTGCGTTTAAACGATAGGAATGGTCAAAGACCTGTCGGTTGGTGATAACTTTTTATTGGCAGAATTCCATAATAATGGTGAGTCAAATGTTGTAATGCTTCGTTCTCTAATTTCATCTACTTTTGCTTGTTGAGGTTTCTTGTTTACTTTATTTCAGCTCTCACAGGTTTTCTTCATTTACCGGGTCTTTTTCTGTCAAACTGTTTCTTCTGTTGTTTTACTGCTTGCAAATTGAAAAAATACAGATTTTCTAGAAATTTTTGATAGTTTCCGAGTGGTAGAAACTATTTATAAATATATAAAAAAGTTAAGTGGTGCCACAGATTTGTACAGTTTTGATAAAATTCGCGTTAAATGATGGCTTTGTTCAAAATTTTAACGGTTTGTTTTATACACTTTCTTTCTGATTACTTTTTGCTTAGGTCAAACGTTTCTTTATTATTGTAAACCGTTACGTAGGTAGATGCCTTGGTGCCAATATCGCAGCAGTGTTTGATGTTAATTTAGCAGTAGGAAAAAAAGGTTATTTTTAACACTCTGAAAACCCTTCCTTAGGAGACCAAACTGATAAAGCAAACTACTGGCCATTTAGTAGCATGGCAATTCCCAACCAGGTGGCAAAAACTGTTTCCATTGGAAATGTAATGACACTTTGAGGATACTCAATTCTCGAATATTTTGGAAGTTACTCAGATACTCTTCTCGCTTATAATAACCATTTAATAGTACCTAATTAGCTTTTCATTTTTGTCGCCTTCTTTAAGGATTTTCAGTGAGTTGCAGCCTTAACCAGAAATGCTGCTGAACAAACTTCTAAATCCGTCATGTGTAATCAGTACTTCTGTGAGGAACAACTGCCCGTGGTGGCGAAACAGCTTCACGCCGTGCTATTTCCGTTTCAGAGCGGACAAGAAAGTGAAAAAAGGTAACCTGATTTAAAAACTGCTTATTCGTCCACAATGACCGTTAGCACCACTCAGCCTTCTGTTATTCCCAACAAATTTCATTAACGTAACAGGAACTTGACCAAATATCTGTAAGCCCCGTTACAAAAAATCCCTCCGACCTTAGCGACCGTCACCTGTCGCTCGCAGATAAGAAACCTGTTCCCCCCACTCACTATACACAGGTCTCGTTACTTACATCCCACCACACGTAAAAATTTGAAACGTCTCCCACAAACGTGTCTGCCCACTTTTAAATTTACTTTTTCAGGTACAGTCGAAGGAAGGTTAAAAACCCGTGGCGGACGACTGATACTGATGAAGCGAATACTGCAGGAAAAACCTTTTATAGCTTGGAACATGAAAACAGACCCGCCTGAAAAACGTCTGTCATACCCACTCTAGCCAGTATCATACCGAGATATAAATGACGCATAAAATGGTTAAGTGATACTCTCAAAGTAGTCTGACTCATAGCAGACCCTTATTGCATGATGGATTGGCTAATGACAAAAGTCAAAGTGAAATCCCTCAGTGACTTCACAGTTCTCATATTGTAGTTCATGAGAGTACCAATAACGATTTACTTCGGTCACTCGATCATGTAAATACATTGTAGGAACAATAATAAAAAAATAGAATGACACAGAACGGACTGAACACTCAGCAAATAATTAGCGCCTAATAGCCAACCTCACTTCCAATCAGCAAAACAAACTGGAAGAACTACCACTCAGTTATTAACGGATTCTGAAAATAGTAAAATCCCTCGTAAAACATTTCTACTTTCGGCGCTGAAAGAAAACAAAAAGCAGATTAGGTAAGTGATGAGAAAATAGATCATGGTCAAAGGAACAAGCTGACAACTGTCTAATACGGGGCAGCGCGGTCTCCACGTCCTCTTCCCCGCCCACCATCGCCTCTCATCGGACCTGGACCTCCCGAACTGCTTCCACGCGGTGCATGGCAGCGATTGCACTCTCGCCGGAAACCGAAATTAGTGTTGCCGCAAGGTTCACAAGTCCAATCATTTGGACGGGCTTCCATATTACCGCCTGTTCCACGACCTTAAGTCTCAATATTAGAAAAAATTTACTGTGCGTATACTCCAGTAACGAGTCAAAGTATACTGCTCCGTCCCAAATACCATTCAGCGGGGAAAGTAAATAGAGG